TGAAGTATAAGTTAGTTGGAAGAAATTCGTAAAACGGTCTCACAGAAAATTAAGTGAGTATTGCTGAGGAGTGAAGTTTGTTGGATTGTGCGAATAAATCCTCGCCTCACCCTCCTGCGGCCCAATGAACCTATGCCAAGCTTTTTTCTTTACTTTTACGCGCATCATCAGAGCAAGAATCCATACATTATGAAATAGAATAAAATTATATTAAACCACGAGAAAGGTGGTCGGCTGCAGCCCTAGTCATTTTGTATACACCTAACTTTGCGATCTTGATGACGCTTGATTATTTCTACTGGACTGGTAAGCCTGAAGCCCGATCAAAAACAAAGGTGTATGTATACAAAAATGTCTTGAAGGTTTCTTAATTTTGGAGGCAGCTCCTTTCATATTCTATCTGGCTGATTTATCTGGTTGATTGGCTACCTCAAACTCAATCTATATGCATGCAGATGAGTTTAGTTACTTCGCGAATCGGAATAGCATTCGGTAGCATAGAGGATCGTAAGCAAGTTTATTTAGCGGATCAACGTTCGATTTATAGATTAATTTTATTCATTTGCAAGCATGTAGAGTAAGTTTGAGGAGACCAACTAAACCATGGGATGCTTCAAAAAGATCGCAATGTTAGATGCCACCTTTCTCTTGGTTTATTATACTTTTTCTCTATTTGGTAAAGTATGGATTCCTGCTCTGAGGATGTCTGCAATAGTACAGACAAAAGCTTAATACAGGCTCATTAGGGTCGCAGAATGGTGAGTCGAGGACTTTTTCTTACAATCCAACAGTCTTCACTCCGCAGCATCCTACTTCGGTTTTCGGTGAGACCATTTAATGACTTCCTTCCAGCCAACTTCTAATTCTAAATATAGATTCATGTTACAATTGTGTTTCCTTAGAAGAGATCTGTTCAGAATTCATGACTCAGACAAGCATAATGGAAAAACTCTGTTCTTATACGGGCTCACTGCTATACAGCTTTTGTCATGATCGAAATTAAATTTCTTACTCCAACTTGTTTGCAGATGAAACCTTCTGGGGCGAGAAAAACTCCAGGCACCTTTTCGGGCCTGAGCATATTCTCAACTCACTTCCATCGCATGCTGGTTTTAACTTCAACGACTGACAAAATGCATTCAAATGACCTATATCGTGAGAGAAAATATGGCGTCGAATCGCCATCATGGGTAAAGGCAGATTACAAGCAGAAGATGCACATGACAAGATCAGGAGAAGAGCCATTCCAGCCCGGTGTGCAAAATAACATTGAGACCAGACTCATGAAAGTTCTGCTCGTCATTACCTGCTTGATTATTTCTACTGGACCGGTAAGCCTTAAGCCTGATTACAGACAAAGGTGCATGTATACGAAAATGTCTTGAAGGTTTCTTAATTTTGGAGGCAGCTCGTTTCATATTCTATCTAAGTGGGCCGAAGTTGGCAATTATTTTTAAATAAGAGATATTTTATGAGTTTAATGTTGCTCTGATAGTATCTAGACCTAATGCAAGATAAGAGAGCTGAAGAACGTGTAATGAAAGGCAGAGGGTGGACTATCTGTTTAGGATAAAAGATGCACCAGTTTTACAC